GCTGATCATAGGGAAGTCCTTAATTTGTTTTTCTGATGCCAGTACTTAAGAGCTCTGCATTCTTCTCTTCTTCCACATAGCTGGAGAAGAGAGGAGATAATACTCTGAGTATTTCCTTTCCTAAAACGAAATCTCTCTGTCTAGGTTCTGTCTAATCAGAAAGGGATACTGTTTTGTCTTCCATCTTGGAGTTGACTTTTCTCCTCTTTGTGGGAAGCCCCCACCCTTGGCCTTCACTTGCAGTCGTTTCCTTGATTGACTGGAGCCCATCAAGTCAGCATTCTGCCCTCAGGGTCTCCCTAACAATGGCTTAGGAGAGTAGCTCAGGAGAGGTCTCAGAAAGTGTTTTTCTGACAGTAGAATATAAGAAAGAAGGCATAAATCCAGGCTGGGCAATTAGCAAGGTTGTCGCACCACACGAGAATACATCACAAGAGTAGGAGATAGAGCTGAACTCTGTGCTTAAAGCATTTGAAGAAGGAACAAGAGAATGTATCGTTGTGGAATTTTCTGCCAGGTGCCATTGAAGCTGCCCCTGGCTGAGGAACAAGTCTGCTTTGGTGTTCTTCCTCCTGTACTTGGGAAATTCTATCAGCATAGTTTTATAGCCATGAGGAACAGAGTAAGTGGATGAGTGTGTTCTGCTGACTGTGTGATTTTTCAGTTCCCCGAGCCTCTGAGATTTTGCAGCATTGGCTAACAACACAGTTCTTATTTCTGCAGTCTATGTGGTAGGGAAAAATCTCTTGATGCAAACTCGGTGGTTCCATATCCTCGGTATGATGATGTTCATCTGGTCGTCGGTCCATCAGTATAAGTGCCATGTCATTCTCGGCAATCTCAGGAAAAATAAAGCAGGTAAGATCTTTCCGAGCCACTGCGTGTGGATTTTAATACTCAGAAGTTAATTGTCCATGTACTTTCATCCTTTTCCTTCCTGCCCTAATTAGGTGACTAATTGATCAAATATTCACTTTTGGTAAGACATCTCTCTGGGTCTTGATCTTCCCGTCTGTGAAATGAGAGCATTAGACTGAGAGTTCTCTCTGGCCCCACTAGTCCTGGTATTTATGATTCTACTAGAGGCCTGGTGCATGAAATTCGTGCACGGGGGTGGGGAGGTGTCCCTCAGCCCAGCCTGCACCCTCTCACAATCTGGGACCACTGGCTCCTAACCGCTTGCCTGCCTGCCTCATCGCCCCTAACTGCTCTCCTGCCTGATCACCCTTAACCACTCTGCCTGCCTGCCTGATGCCCCTTACTGCTCACCTGCCTGCCTGATCGCTCCTAACTGCTTGCTAGCCTGCCTGATCACCGCTAACTGCTCACCTGCCTGCCTGATTGCCCTTAACCACTCTCCTGCCTGCCTGATCACCCCTAAGTGCTCGCCTGCCTGCCTGACCACCCCTAACCGCTTCTGCCTCAACCCCTGCCGTGGCCCACGGCTTTGTCCGGAAGGACGTCCAGAATGATGTCTGGATGGTCGTTCGGCTGTCTGGTCTAATTAGCATGTTATGATTTTATTATAGATTCTGTACCCACCATTTAGGGCCTGCACTGCATATATGTGTCTGACCAGTATGTGAGCACTAGTATGACCATGCTGAGTTAGTATCATTCCAGCCAAAACTCTTGACTTTTTTACTAGTTTTAAAACTTGTGTTAACTTATCACAGGTACAGTTTTTATTAGGCTTTTTGAAATATTAAAAATGGAACAGTATTATTCAGCGTTTATTGAGTGCTTATTTTGTGCCAGGCCCTACTTGGTTTTACATATAGCTTCACAAATGCTCACTTGAGGTGGGTACAGTCTTATCTCCATTTTACAGATGAGGAAACTGAGGCACAGAGAGGTTAAGCAACTTATCTAAAGTTCCCACGGCCATCACCTTGGGACTCCATAATATAACTTGGTGGCTAGTGGTAACAGCCAGTAGGTGTAGAGCCTGGGTTTGGACTTGTGCAGTCTCACTCTGGAGTCTGAGCCCCCCCACTTTTTTTTTTTTAATGTTTATGTCATTACAGTGAAACTAAATTTTAAGAGACACTGCATGCCATTTTTTGTATATCATTAGTTTGTTATAAAAGAGGCACAGAAATTATTTACGTGATGAAATATTTCAGAACGTCAGTGAAATGGGCAGCTTCACACGATACCATTTCAAGTGATTTATTTCAGTCTGTGTACCTTCCAAGAATGTCACCACCTTGAAATAAAAAATAATCCTTGTTGTTTAGAACTACCTTGGTGCCTCCCCATTCTGGAAGAACTTTGTCTCCAACTTTAACACAAACTGGTAGAGTCTCTCCACCCTTTCTTTTGGAGCCTGATCCAACAGCCACTACTGCTGCTTGCATTGTTTTTCCTTGAGATTTTTCTGGAAGCATAATGCCTCCTTTGGTTACAGTCTCTGCAGCACTCCTTTCAGCTAATACTGGGTCAGAGCAGGGAAGAAACTTTCCGAATGCCTGTCCTGCCATGACTCCTGCTGCAGCAGTTCATACTCTGTGCAGGGTCCGAAGGAGACACCTACAGTCGGGCCCGCTGGACAGTGAACTTGGGTAAAGGCGGCCCAGGGTGCAGGCCCTCCTCCCCGTGAGAGAAAGAAGGCGGCCACAGCTTCGGAGGCCTCTGCACAGGCTACTGACATGACGACTGGCAGGCAGGAGAGAAGAGGATCTTTCTCTAGGCTTTGTGGAGTCTGAGCTCTTCATTTCCAGCTTGGAGGACTGTTGGCGTAACAGGCTCTCCTGTGCTTATTTACAGTTGATAGTGTGACCTGAGCATGTGGCTCTAATACACAGTAGACTGGCCGTGGAAGTGTGGCAGGAGGGTGGTTTGCACGCATGTCTGTCATACTCTTTTCTAATAGGAGTTTTTGTAAATGATTTGGGGTTGGGGGAGGGTGATATGGTAGAACCTTCTTTTCACAGCTTCAGACGTTCAGGAAGTTTCTTTTTTCATTTCAGGAGTGATCATTCACTGTAACCACCGGATCCCCTTTGGAGACTGGTTTGACTATGTTTCCTCCCCTAACTACTTAGCAGAGCTGATGATCTACGTCTCCATGGCCGTCACCTTGGGATTCCATAACGTAACTTGGTGGCTGGTGGTAACATATGTCTTCTTCAGCCAGGCTCTGGCAGCTTTCCTCAGCCACAAGTTTTACAAAAGCAAATTTGCCTCCTACCCGAAGCATAGGAAAGCCTTTCTGCCATTTCTGTTTTGAGATAACCTCAGTCATGAAGAATGCAGACCAGGTGGCTGGCTCAATTCCTCAGGACAAGGACATCTAGAGACCAAAGCGCAGTTTCGGCAGAGCTGTTAGAAACTCTGTGTTTATACCCAACGTCTTCACTGGATGAGCAAAGCAATATCCATCAAGAAAATGAAACTTCAAAGCACTGCTTCTGGCAGACCTGCGAGTGCTGAGTTGCTTTACCAAACCAGCCAACTGCTAAAAACTGGATGAGACTCCTCGGGGCTGCTTCAAAGCAAACTAACCCGGAGCGTGCACACAGCTCCAAACACGCACCCACAGCCACAGAGGAAGAGGAGATCGTCTGTGGCTTTGTTAGGGACAAATTAACTGGACATCATAATAAGTGATACAGTAAGTGCTCCGTGACTGCTTGTCGCATTTTAATAAAAGCAGAATAGCTTCTGAAAATAACAACAATATGCCATTTCACACTAAAAGATTCAGGGAACAATGAGTCCATTGTAGTTAATTTATACTTTCACATATTACCACAGATTTCCAGTATGGAATCATCACTAGTCATTTCCACTCCTCTCCCCCTCAAATCATAGCCCAACAGAAAGTCTGAAACCTCTTTTATTGAATACCATTTGACATCCTTTTCAGGGGAATACCTTAAAATGAAAGCATCTGAAAATAAAGTATTTTTGTATTCATACATGAGAAGCCTTGAATGAAATTGAGTTACACTTCGGATTAGATAGTACTGTAGCCTCATTCATATGTAGTTATTCAAATTGGATTAATGTCTGCCTGAGTTTATTTTCACTAATAGAATGAATTGAAGCTATTGAGGATTAAAGTTGACACTTAAAATAGCTTATGTTACAATACCCACGGTTAAATCAAAGGGAAATAAATGCATTATGTGAAAGAAAAACAAACTTGAAAAATAATTTTTGCTGAGTGATGCAGCAAAAATTTCACATTCATGCAACATAAGATTTACTGGCTTATTGACTGGGGTATTAACTTCATTCCTATTATGTAGATGTAGTATTGGTCTACTCAGTACTAAAATTTTGCACTAATATATACCTTGCTAAGGAGGAAAGAACCTAATTAGGAATCAGGCACATATCAAACATAGTCTATGTATTTCCTCCCCTTACTTATCCCTCAAGTAGTAGACCAAAGCTTTTAAACTGAGATTCTTTTTACTAAATTTTAATATATGCATGTCAGAGCATATTCTAAAGTTCTTACAATAATTCTGCTGTAGCATTTTTCCTCCCATCATTCAAATACCACTTCAATGAGTTGCTCAGTCTATTCGAATAAATGACATATTTATTTATCATTTAGATTTGCCATCTTCAGGACCGGGACTCAGGAACCAAACTTTCTACATTGGAAATGTAAAGCATATTGTAGTTTGGCCTTAATGTCCACACCAATGGCATGAATGACTTTTAACAGCAAATTACTTGGGAGGAAATGTATTTTGCTTCAGCATGCCATTTTACACTAGGTCAGACTAGAATTTGGCCAATGTTCTGGAATTTCACTGTACTCTTAACTAAAGTAATGAGCATCCCTGTGAAGAACCATTCTCGGGGCCTTGACTAAGCGTCCCCAGTCCCTGCTATCCTTGCTGTCCCTTGCACGCTCTTTCATGCTCCTTACTTTACTTTTCCCTTTCTTGCCCAAACATTGCATTTCTGTGTGAAGATAAAAGAGGACGTCATGATGTCCTCAGAGGGGCTCAGGACAAAGTAGCGTGGTCTTTGACAAAAGCTTAGCCACGGAGAATAATTGAGAATGGTGCGGCACTTGCAAGATCACAGTCAGCACTGCTTTTTGTGTCAATGAAAATTGTCCCTGTGCCTTTTAGGCAGAGCACCAAAGAGAGTCAGCAAATTCATCACACGGGGAATCCAGAAATCACTTAGGGATGGGGGCTCTTGATTTTCCTGCAAGCTTAGTTGAACAACCTCATTTCATTCTCTACTACTATTAAATTAGGGGGAAATGATACTACCTCATAACAGCATTCCCTGGGTTACCTACTGCCTATAAAGTGTGCAGAAAATAGCCTTTGTTAAGTCTCCAAGTTGTAGCTCATCCCCTATGCTAACACTTGATTTCAGCAAGCAGGGATGATTTTATATCCACAAGACTGTTCTGTATTAGGCGGTTTTTAAAAATTTATCTTCAATTGTTGAAAGTATTACAGATGTCCCCTTTTTTCTCCATTGACCATCTTCCACCAAGCCTTCACCACACTATTGTCAGTGTTCATGGGTTATGCATATATGCTTATAAATTATTTGGTTAATCTCTCCCCCCACCACCACCACCATCCCCGTATTATGTTTATAATTCAATGAGTGGTTATTGCTAGAATTCATACCAAAGATAAAGGAGTCTTTGCAGAGCGTTGGCCGGTTTTCTCAATGGTTAAAGCGTCAGCCTGTGGACCGAAGGGTCTCGAGTTCGATTCCTGGTCAAGGGCATATTCCCCGGGTGCATGCAGGAGACACCCAATCAGTGAGTCTCTGTCACATCCATGTTTCTCTCTCTCTTCCCCTCCACCCTTCCTTCCACTCTCTCTAGAAATCATTGGAGGAATATCCTCAGGTGAGGATTAAAAATAAAAAAAGAGCCTTTGCAGATATTTTATATGAAGCTTAATAGTCTAAGGATACTATAAACATTTGCATAATTAAAGTACCTGAAAACTCAAGAACCACTGATGTGTAATATAGCTCTAAATGAACTAATATATTAAAGAATACCTTCAAATAGTAAAGGAGCAAGTAGACATTTTTTATACCTCTGTAAGCAATTTCTGCCCCGCCTTTCACATTACTTTTTGTACATTTCATGTCTCAGCTCTGGATTTAGTTTTGCGGTTACAATTACATATGTGTAAATGTCTCAGACATACAAATAGTCCTTTCTCTTCTGATTGTCTTTTATCTTCATTCAACTGTACCTGTCCAGTCTTTTACTGCCTCCCCTTTTATGATTTTAACCTAAATTCTCTTTTTATATTGTGCATTCGTAACCAAATGGCAGTTATTTTTTAAAATATTTTTGTTGATTCTTTTTGAGAGAGAGAGAGGAAGGGAGAGTGAGAGAGAGAAATGTTGGTATCAGAGCAAAACATCCATTGGCTGCCTCCTACATACCTACTACCTGCATACCTCCTACCTGCATAACTCCTACCTGCATACCTCCTCCCAGGGATCCAGCCCCCAACTGCGTCATGTGCCCTGATAAAGAATTGAACAGATGACACCCAACCAACTGAGCAACACTGACCAGGGCTATAATTATAGTTATTTTTAATGCATTTCCCCGTCTTTAACCTTTATAATTATTTAAAACCTATTCTGAAGTAGAGTTGCAATTTCCTGCTTCTGTCTGTCAGTCATGGTACTCAAAGTTTTATATACTTTTGTCTTTTTGTTTCTGGTAGATCAGCTCCTTCCAATATTTCTTATAGTGCAGGTCTTAGAGTGGTAAGTTTTCTCAGCTTTTGTTTGTCTGCGAAAGCCTTTATTTCTCCTCCATATCTAAAGGGTAACTTTGCTGGATATATTACCCATGGCTGATGGCTCCTCTCCTTTAATATTTTGAATATTTTCTTCCACTCTCTCCTGGCTTGTGATGTTTATAGTGAAAAATCTGATGAGAATCTAATAGGGCTTCCTTTGTAGGTTACAATTTTTCCCACCAGCTGCCTTGAGAATTCTTACTTTGTCATTAATTTTTGACAGTTTGAATAAAATGTGTCTTGGCGAAAGTCTTTTTGTGTTGAAATCAGGTGTTCAGTTAGCTTGCTCTAAAGTCCAGTCTTTCCATGGGTGTGGGAAGTTCTCATAGGTTCCCCGTTCCCTTCCTCTCTCTCTCCTTCTGATATACCCTTATCCTTATGTTGCTGATTTTAATAGATTCAGAGAGCTCTCGGTAGAGGTCTTTCCTTTATTTTTCGTAACTCACTTCTTATTTTTTCTTAACTCTCTTCTTCCTCTAGGTTTCATTCTTAGAGCTCACTAATTCCTTCTCACATCTAGTCTGCTCTATTTCCAGTGCTCTCTAATGCATTTCTCATTTCATTTAATGAGTTCTTCAACTCCAGAATTTAATTATTTCTTACATTTTCATTCTCGTGGTAAAGTAATCCTTTTGTCCCTTTACTGAATTTCTGAGCTATTTGAGCTGCCCATCTGAGTTCTCTTATCTCATTGAGCCTCTTCATAATTGCAATTTTGAATTCTCTGTCATCTAAATCACAATATTCCAGGGCTTTGGTTGCTGGAGACTTTTCGTTTTCTTCCTGTGCTTCCAAATGACCTTGGTTGTTCCTGGTATGATGGATTGTTTCTCTGCCTGCACATTTGAGGTAATGATTTTTGTTTTCTTGTTTATTTTGCTCTCAACAGTGCAGCAACTTGATAGTTAGGGCACTTTCTTTTGTTTTCCAGTAGATGGTGTTATAGTGCAAGTTTTTGTTTTGTTTTTGTTTTGAATTTTCTAAATATGTTTTATTGATTTTTTACAGAGAGGAAGGGAGAGGGATAGAGAGTTAGAAACATTGATGAGAGAGAAACATCGATCAGCTGCCTCCTGCACACTCCCCACTGGGGATGTGCCCGCAACCAAGGTACATGCCCTTGACTAGAATCGAACCTGGGACCCTTGAGTCCACAGGCCGACGCTCTATCCGCTGAGCCAAACCAGTCAGGGCTTTTGTTCTTTTCTTGCTTGTACTATTTGTGCCTGGAATCACAATGGATCTCTCCGTGGAGTAGCTCATATAATGGTCCTCAAGTTCCATCCAAGCAAGCAAGCAAGGGTGTGCAAGACACATGACACAGTCTCTCCGAAACCTAATCTTGGAAGTGACTTCTCATCCTTTGGCCATATTCTGTTTGTTATAAGGGAGTCAGTATGTTCAACCCATTAAAGCAAACTTTAGAATTCAGGATTTTCATGCAATTCAGGATTACAGCAATTGGTGTGGGACACGAAATAGGAATGGATACTCTTTCTTCTCTCCCATACTCCAGAGTCTACAATGCTGAAAGTAAAATTTGTTAGAAGATGAGTGTGCTCCATGAAACCAAACTCAAAAACTTAGAGATGGGAGAGACATCTTTTATCTTTTATAAAACTCCCTATTTCATTGTTCAATAGTTTTGTTTTTCCATTCCAGAATTCCAGAATGTATAGAATAAGTCCTATCCATAATGATGGTTTTATATGCTTTACTATTTCCCCTTCTCAGAGCAACTTTCCAGGTTGTCAATTTTTTAAATTGTGTTGTTCTTGTTGTTTTATATAAGAAGGACATAGGCTCTTTTTTAAAAAATTTCTTTATTGGTTAAGGTATTACAAATGTGTCCTCATCCCCCCATTAACCCCCAACTTCCTCCCCACCCCCTACTCATGTCTCATCCCCCTGGTGTCCGAGTCCATTGGTTTGGCTTATATGCATGCATACAAGTCCTTTAGTTCATCTTTTCCCCTTACCCCCACCCTCCCCTACTTTCCCTCTGGGGATTGATAATCTGATCGCTGTTTCTCTGTCTTTGGATCTGTCCATCAGTCTATGTTGTTCTCTATATTGGCTTATATGCATGCACACAAGTCCTTTGGTTGATCACTTCCCCTTACCCACACCCTCCCAGCTTTCCCTCTGGGGATTGATAGTCTGA